GTACGTCAAACTTCCTTAACAGTAGGGGTGAGCGCGGATTGGTTCTGTTCGGTTCCAAAAATTTTCGGGTATTTAATAAATGGAATCGTCAGTTCCAAATATAATTTTGGAACCGTTCGAATTCGGTTCGATTCTGTACTACAATTAAATTTTTTAACATTTAAAATAATACTACATAAATACACCTGAAAGTATATACTAATATTCAAAAAGTAGATACAAATACCAAGTTCAATTTTAATTTTTACAAATTAACATAATCTAATTTAATAACATATAAATAATAAGTTGTCAAATACAAATATCAAAAAGTAAATATTACTAGTAAAATTTCGATGATTCATATCAATAATTCATTTATTTCAAACCTTCAAGTCTACATAAAAATAAAATATAAATTATAAGTCATAAATATAAAATATTTTAAAGTATTGATAATACTTACCAACTGTTTAATGTAATTATCAGTTGTTTGACTTTCCATACTAACTAATAAGAAGCTATACAAGAAAAAATTGAAAAAAACACAATTAACAAATATAAATAAATTCTAAATTGTTCAACTAATAAGATTTAATAAAAAAAAATTATTAATTTGTTTAGAAAAAATAAAAGAAATTAATTTATCCAATATATAAAAAAAAAATCGATTCTTATTTGGTTCTTCGATTCTTGGTCTAGAATCGAGAACCGAACAAAATCATTCGATTCTCTATTCGGATACCCGTTCGAATATTTCATTTAAGAAAAATCGCTCGACTCCGATTCAATTCGGACATTTTGCCCAGCTCTACTTAACAGTATCAAAACTTGTGTAATTTCCTATTTTGTTGCAAGACTCGTGCAGCTCGTGCCACATAAAAAATTACGTTCGGTACTTCATTTCATAAGAACTGAATTGAGATGCACAATGGTTGTCAAACCCAGATTTTCATCATGAAGGAGACTGTATTGGTGACAGGTGCTTCCGGTTACTTAGGTGGTAGACTTTGCCACGCCCTCCTCGATCAAGGCTACCACGTTAAGGCTTTTGTTCGCAAGACCAGTAACATCTCCTCCTTACCTCCGCCCACTGACGGTGGCGAAACTGGCGGAGCTCTTGAGCTGGCTTATGGAGATGTTACCGATTATAAATCCCTCTTGGAAGCTTGCAACGGTTGCCAGTTAATCTTCCATGCTGCTGCCCTCGTCGAGCCCTGGCTGCCAGATCCCTCGAAATTCTTTACAGTAATCCATCTTTAAAATTGCATAAATACAATTAAGCCTTGATTTTAGTTGATTAGATATATTCAAAGTTGAGTTTTTTATTGGTTTGTAGTTGATAATTACAGGTTAATGTGGGAGGATTGAAGAATGTTATACAGGCATGTAAGGAGACCAAATCAATTCAGAAGATTATTTACACGTCGTCGTTTTTCGCCTTGGGATCCACTGATGGGTATATTGCAGATGAAACTCAGGTATGAACATAGTCTGTGTAAGATTCGATTTATATCTCGATTAGTTGATTTTTGTTCCTCCACTTTTTCCTTTCCTTTTGTGGGTTTGTTGAGATTTTTGGTTTTGTCTACTGTTGCATAGGCACATCCTGGTAAACATTTCTGCACGGAGTACGAAAGATCGAAGGCCATGGCCGACAAAATTGCTTTGGAAGCTGCATCTGAGGGTTTGCCAATAGTGCTGATTTACCCGGGAGTCATATATGGTCCTGGCAAAGTGACAAATGGAAATTTTGTATCGCAAATGGTAAATTTCTAGAATGTTTAGTTGATCTGGATTGAGTAGCTCTAACTGATGAAAATATGGTCTGTAGAGTTCAAGTACTGTTTATGGAAGGAGTAGGTTTAGAGTAATGGCTTCATTCTTCAAAGGTCAATGTCGTTTAGAGGATAACCAGAGCCATTATGTGTGTTGGTTAATGTTTTCATATTTAACCGACGTGGGATTTTACCCTTAACAATAATAGTGTAATTATCAATTGGATGTGTTTACTAACTATATTCTTGAATTCGCAATTTTATTACACACAATGTTTTTTCATAGTTATTATAGAGTTTGAGCATTGATCTCATTTAAATTTGATATAATGCATTAATGTGTTTCATTTCTCGTATGCATCTACTTGTTCTTCTGCTTATGTGTTGATGTGAATGTCGATTAAACTTTAATGTGGACTAATAGAATGTAATGGGACTTCATGATCATCCCTGGTATGCGTCTACGTCATATTTCGTCGAAAAGTCTATGAATTGACATGTGTATCTTCTTTCTGTCAGCTTGTAGAACGCTTTAATGGACGGTTACCTGGATATGTGGGAAAAGGAGATGACAAGTGCTCTTTCTGTCACGTCGATGATGTTGTTCAGGGACACATTGCTGCAGTGCACAAAGGTCGACCAGGTGAAAGGTATCTTCTTACAGGAGAAAATATGTCATTCAGAGATGTTTTTGATTTAGCTGCTAGCATCACTAAGACAGCAAAACCTCGGTTCACCATCCCACTGTTTATGGTTGAGATGTATGGACGTCTATCTGTTATTGGTGCCCAAATAACTGGAAAGCTTCCGATAGTCAGTCCCCCGGTATGTACTGCAGCAATCTCTGTCATGAACTGGTTTTTACTGCCACTAGCAATTATTGATACTGTTCAGCATACGCGATTCTTTGATCTAGTAAAATTTTGATTGTATCTACGATGCAATGACTAAGGGTTGTAAAAGCTTGAGGTTATCTATCTTTTATCAATCGTAAAGTATGCTTTACTGCTTTCATTCGTGCTGCTGCCACCAATCTTAGATGAAGACTTCAACGTTACTCAGTAACTGATAGAGGCCATTACAAACCTTGAGATCAGTGATGATTCTGATACCCTTTTTTCGCTTGGTAGAACAAGACCTCTTCATGTTACTTGTGTATTACATAATCATTTGGGCTCCTGTAGAATTTGTGTAAATATTTTTGCCACATGTACCTTCACGGAATATAGAACACGAGGCTGATATAAAGTTTGGAGCTCCTTTAGTTTCCATACTACATTCTACCATTATGGGAATAGGTTATTAACATGTGCCATCCAGTTTCTCGACCTACTGTTTGTTGACTGTACTATATTATTACAAGGATCACTAGGCCATCACCGTTGGCGTCACTCCTGGAACAAATTGAACTTACAATCTAACGCTACTTCTGCACGACTGTGACCATCCATTTTAAAATCTTAATTCTAGCATTTTATGCACGTACGATTTCCATGATCCTTAGCTCTCCAAAAATACAAAGATTGTAGTAAATGATGTCTCGTTTGTGATTTTTCTTCTGGCTTCTATGCTTTCCATTTTGGCCATAGCTATGGCATCTTTTGATCTATTTCAGCTTTGTTGAACAGACTGTTGATGTTCTGAGACATCAGTGGGCTTACAGTTGTGACAAGGCCAAGGCGGAGCTGGGCTATAACCCGAGAAGCTTCAAAGACGGTCTAACAGAAATGCTTCCCTGGTTAAAGAATTTGGGTTTGATTAAATATTAGGATGCTGATCTGAATTTTGCATTTCTGGTTTAAAGTTGACATGTAAATTGTGATGCTTGTATATTCTGTTTTAACATTATATAACATATTATGTGGCTTATCGTTACATATCATTAATATTCACATGCTGCATCATAGTTATAAAACCCAGACTGGATATGATGGATAAATAGACAATGGACATAAATTCTGCATCAACAAAGACAGATTTAATTTCAAATAAGTAATTATTTTGCCTCATTTTTAAATTATAGATTGGATCTATGATTGGAGTGCTACACTGTTGGATAATCCCATTGATCGTGGGATTTGTTTCTCTCAAATTTCTACCTTCAAACATTTTGCTTTTCTTGTAACCTATTCCTTGTGTAAATAGATGCTGAAATATACTTCCCACTTCCAAGTTAGCATAAAGTTTCGAATTAGCTTGGCAGATTTGAGAGTGAGTTTGAGGTTTTTGATCAATACAAATAGGCGTTAAATGCACTAATAATCAGTAAACTTTTCACAATATTTTTTTTTATATTGGAAATTGAGCTTTAAAACGTTTGTGATTAGCCACTAAATTTATCAAACCGTTTATCCATCCATCACTTTGTCGTCAATTTTTATACAAAATGGATGATTTTGATAACAGATATTCACACGTGACAACTTTGAAGGCCTTCTTAAATGATCGATTTTGAGTAGTTTTAACAGCGATTTTTAAAATTGTCCAACCTATTATTGAGAGTTTATTATTGATCGGCTCTGAAAGTTTTTTAGAAGAATAAAATTACATATTTAATAAAAATTTCAGTTTATAGTTTCTTATATAAAATTTTTGCTCATAAGTGATATTTTATTTATAGGTAATTTTTTTTTTCATATAAGTTAATATTTAACTTAAAAATTAAATAAAGTTAAATATTTACTTAAAATTTTAAGTTAATTTTTTTACTTAATAAGTAAATTTTACAATTATAAGTAAATTTTATACTTTTAAAATATTTTAAGTGATTTTTTTACTTATAATTTTTAAAATATTTTATAAGTGAATTTTTGTCTTATTAGTAGCATTTTTTTAAAATTTTATAAACAATTTTTTTTTTACATAAAAGTGATTTTTACTTATAAGTAATATTTTACTTATAAATATATTTTTTTTATAATTTATTTTTCGGTTATAAATAATTTTTTAGTCAATATATTTTTATTTACAATTTAGTTTTGAAGAAAATATTTTGGTTGAAAATAATTATTTTATAGATGGTAAAATTAGAAGAGATTATGAGAAATGACCAAAACCCGCCAATTTGATGGGTTGGGAAAATCGGTCAAAATTACACTACACCCGTAGGGGTGGCAACGAGCCGAGCCGAGCCGGGAAAAAAAAGCTCGGGCTCGTTTTTTGGACCGAGCTTTTTTTGGCCCGAACCGAGCCGAGCCGGGCCCGGCCAAAAAAAATGAGGCTCGGCCCGAGCTTTAGGCTCGAGCCTTAGCGGGCCGAGCCGAG